AAAGGTTAAAGCAGAGGCTGCCTTCGTTTGGGCACATCATGAGAAAGCAGGATTCTCTGGAAAAGACAATAATGCCAAGAAAGGTGGAAGGCAGCAGGAGAAGAGAAAGGCCAAATATGAGATGTGCTCACTCTCTCAAGGAATCCACGGGCTTGAGTTTACAAGAGCTGAACAGTGCAGTTGAGGACAGGACATTTTGCCAATCACCCATTCACAGGGCCATCGTGAGTCAGAGGCAACCTAATAAACATAGCAGCAGCAGTAGCAGCAACAACAACAACTCTTCCTGGCAGAGAGCCTGTAGCATTTCCCCTCCTCAAATCTTGAAGTCCCTTTAAACTTTCTCCTTATCTTGAAACCTTTATGATGTCTCCTACTCCTCATTATTGACCTCTACCAAGCAGATTGCCACAGATCTATAGCAGGGAGAATCAGTGCTGGAACAGAGCAGCAATACACACAGCATATTCTGAAACAGTGGGTGGCGGGCAATAGACATATAATCAGTTCAGCCCGGGTGCATTTTAACTCCTCTTGTCTTTTCATTAATCGGCGTTGAGGTTGTTACTCTCAGGCTCTCTTCCTTCCACCTCCCTCAGAGGTTACCAGTGAAGGTGCGTGCAAAGAAGCAACTAAACAAATGTATTGATCTGTTTTTGTCTTGCACTGTCCCCAAATGGATTTCCTTAAAGAATAAATAGTAAATTACTTCCCGCCCCCTTGCCTTACTACTTGTCTCCAGAGTGATTATTTCTTCTCAATAGTCACAAGCTCTATACTCAGCTGATGCACTGTATAAGATTAAATACCAAATAATCCTAACAATAAGAGTATACTGCAAGGCTCAGACACGCTACTGTGTGTCTTCCTTTGCTGTCTATGATGGCACAAACAGGATGTGCCTAATGAACCTAAAGCTAGTACAATTTTTCTACAGGAAAAGCTAAATGACAGGAAGAGGGGAAGACCTGTGTATGCCAAAGAGAAGAGTGATTCTGTCATTCAGCATTGGCTCAGTCTGAACACTGTGTTCTCTTTTACCTTCATGCACAGATTGTCAACTGCAGAAATAAAACATCAACCAGCTAGGGCGAAATTTTGAGAGGAGGAAAATAAAATAAATACAATGAGAGGGATTAGTTGGGAACAATTAAAAGCTGCCTATATGTCTAGTTTAGCAAGGAAATGCCACCGTGATGAATTTCTGGAAGTCATGTAAATGCCAAGGATTTAAAGGGATTATTTAGGGCTTTACATGGCAGGTGCATAAGTAGAAATGCAGTAGAACTGAAATAAGAAAAGTGTTAGCTTTGTACTAGGGAAAGCTCCCTGTCAGATTCAGTGACATAAGACTGTGGAATAGTTCTTGCTTTTAAAGTATTAGATGCTGCATCAAACCAGATTCCTGCCTGGCCATGAAGGCCAAGGGAAAAGGCCTGCTATAAATGAGGCAACACAGCCATGCTGTATTCCAACAGGGATGATGAAAATGCTCCCTTTAATTGTAGTGCCCTGTGGAATAAAACACTTTGATAAATGCTTGCACAGGGGGCAGGGAGCATTCTGATCCTAGGAAATTCATTTGTGTGGTAGGAATCCAATGAAGTAGAGAAAGGGAGAGAGACAAACACAGAGCCATGCGCTAACAACAACAATTCTCCCTGACACAGAATCTGTAGCAGCAAATGGCAGTTGCGATTCAGTTAGCGAGGGACTGTTTTCAAGAAAGAGATCTCTGCCAGACACAGAAGGAAAGGGTGCTTGAGAGATCCTCCACAGCCTTTGCTCTCAGTTCTAACTCCCCTGTCAAGGTTACACATGTCCCAGAAGAATGAGAGGCCTTGGAGTCCTAAGGCTAACCTTACTGACATTAGAGGTGGTAGTGAAAGTCATCTGACAATTTCTGTAGAGATCATCCACATATTAATTAAGGGCCTTTGGTTTTAATTTCCCTCACTGCTTCCTCCTCTTCCTCCTCCTGCTAAGCCTCATATGCAGGGACCACAGCCCTGTAGAGTTACACAGGATGTGATTGGCATGCCTAAGGGTCAACTTTCCAGCCTCCCTAGCTTCAGTCAAAGCCGGCATCTCCCGAGATGGCAACTCCCTTAGTGGGAGTTCTCCTTCAACAGCATCTGGAGACCAGCGTCTTCCCTGCCCCACAGTTAAAAGTGTCCTGGCATCTGCAAGATTCTGCTCTCTCCTGTACACACAGAATGTTACCCAGAAGGTTCTCGAGCTATCAGGGTACCCATGACCCCCTGTATACAGACCAAAACTTTAACCATGAAACTTTGGGCTTTGTGTCTTCGTCTTCTCTTCCTGTTTTAACTAAGGGAATACTAGTGAGTACAGCAGCATGAATGTTAATGCTTTGTTATGTAAACAGCAGATCAGGGGGAAGACAGCCCGGCCTCTGGACCATGGGCTGGGTAGGGAGGGGGACATTAAACCTCCACTCTGACGTTATGATTTGAATTTCAGAGGAAGGAGCTCCCTTTTGGAGAACTGATGGGTTCCCTTGCCACGCAGACAGCTGCTTCAGAGATACCTTTTTAAAAAAAAGATTCAGGAAGTAGGGAACAAGTTAAACTTTGCCTCCTTACCCCACAATCCCCAGATCCTAAGGACTCCCCACACCTGCAATTTACATGCATATTAATAGCATTCAATGGGGGCTGGTGACTCTCATTCCTAAGGACTCCCCACACCTGCAATTTACAGGCATATTAATAGCATTCAATGGAGGCTGGTGACTCTTGGAAATGCTAAGAATCAACTCCATATTTTCCTTCTGAACTTTACAAGTGTTACCTAAGGTGCTGAACCTATTTGATGGAATAGGGGCCAACACCTTGGAAAGCTCCTCTAAGGAGCAGGCTGCAACCCAGAATAGAGTCACAAACCCTCAACAACTGGACTCATCAGTCTCGACGGATTGCATTCATGCAATTCAGATCTCAGTTTGTTCTTAGACCTGAGTATGTGCAAGTGAACTGAGCAGAAAGAATCGCCATCTTGGTTACACTAATCTCTGCCTTCCTTTCCAAGGCTGCCTTTCTCTGGAGCAAATTATAGTGGATAAGCCCCCCAGGCTAGACCAGCTGTTTGTGAAGAGCCCTTCAAATGGAAGCTCAAGGCTCCTCTGGAGCATCAAACACCATCAGGAAAGGAGTTCAGACCTTTCACTAGTGATGCAGGGCTCGTATATTTTGTCCCTGAAATATATGGGGTGGCGGTAGGCAGGATGGGAGGATGATTTTCATGCTGTTTGAAGTGTGATTGTGCTGTGATTCCTGGTCCCCAAGAGTGCAACAGTGTTTCGTGGCAAAAGAACACCAGAGAAGAATCCAGCTCACTTTTTTTTCACGTCCTCGTATCCCGCCAGGACAGAGAGGCAGAAGAAATGAGCTGAGCAACAAGGAAATATGAGCAGAGTGCTCACACGTATCTGGCTGCTAATGGTCTCCTGGAGCTCACGATGCCTTTGATGGTTGGCACCTTTGGTGTAGTGTTGTCCCAGTTGCCAAGGCGGATGGATGTTCAACACAAGGGGGAACGGATGGGCGAAAATTCACACTGCTAGAGTCCCAATCTCTTACCCTCTCCCTGTGTGTTTATCTGCAAATAAATACTGGAAGAAATGTGGTGAACAATAATTCAGCTGGGAAGTAAACACAGAAAGATGAGAAGTGTACAGATAAAGGGTAGATCTAATGAAAGATCTGACAGATTCGGCTGTATCTTGGGTCCCGGGGAGCTTCAAGCTTTGGGGCCAAATGCAGCCGTCTTCTGATCCCAATCTGGACTTCTGGAGTCCTCCAGTTGCCCGTACCCTCTGCCCCATTATAACTTTGATCAGTGATTCCCTGTCTTTTGTGTGTGTGTTTTGGGAGGTGTCCGTGAATTAGACTTACAGTGTTTATACAAAGGAAGTTTCCTACAAAAGAAAGCCTGCTGGTAAAAATTTCTCTTTGCAAACAGATATCCTTGTTTGGAGACTTTAATTTTAAAAAATTGCCAGCTTATGGTAGCTGTGCAGGTACAAATACTTTACTCCTCCATCCACACATCTCAGTCTCAACCATTGCTTCTGTTCCTTGATCTATTCTATAAAGCCATGCCTGCTTCAATGCCAAGGATCTCTTGATTTTTTAAAAACCTTGGTCCTTGGGGGCAATCAGTGCCCATTAGCTTTACAAAAGATCTGCTCCTGAGAGAAACAGAATACATGAAAAAAATAAATACTGGAAGCAATGGAGTGAACAATAATTGTGTTGGAAAGTAAACACACACACACACACACAAACCCTGAGAGGTGTGCAGATGAAGGGCAGGTCTAATGAAAGATCAGACAGACTTGGCTGTATCTCAGATCCTCCAGTTTTGCAGCCACATAACTAACTCACTGAGCTATCTTGCCAGCCAAGAAGCAGGAACTACCTGGATCATTTAGAGTGTGTTGATTGTTTGCCTGGTTACATGGTTCAGGTAGATACAGTACTGCAGAGATATAACCAATATAGAAGATCATTAGAGTTCAGACAAGTAATTTTATTTTTTTTAAAAGAAAAAGAGTTTCCAATCTGTTGCAGTAGTCTTGAAGATAAATAGCCTGAAATTACATTTCTTTAGCTGGAAGTAAATCACATGGAGCTCTGTGGAGTTCTTCTATTGCTGAGGATATAAAAGGCTGGGAATCTGTTCAGAGCCTGTCACATTACCACATATTTCTCAAGTATGTGGTAATTCTCATTACCATGTATTTCTCATATATAGGTACATATGACACTTAGCAAATATTTAGACACCCTTTAGACCAAATTATCCTCAAATTATCCCTGTGGTCTATTGCATCTATTGCCGCCTGGATGTGCGTGCAATAAATCCCCAGGAAATGAACAGAAAAATAACGAGCATTCATCAGTGCCTCTTTAACAGAGGAATGTAAGCCTGTTGCTCTGCCTCATGTACTGATTTGCGGACATCTTTTCCTACAGATCATCAGAAGCTTGAAAGAGAAGCTCGGATCTGCCGTCTCCTGAAGCATCCTAATATAGGTAGGAAAACCCCTTCTTTTCCATGTGACGGGTATGTACATGTGAAAGCCACAATACTCTTCTTTTCCTTTTTTTCTTCATTCTACTCTAAGTGCGGTCATGTGCCATTGTTTTTAACAGAGGACAGCCCTCCCTTTGAAAGGCTGCCCAAGGACAGTCCTCTTTTTTAAACGATGCTCCCTGTTTAAAGGGACGTCCAGAAGTTGCCCGCTCAGAGTTAGCAGCACCTGGACTGCAGATTCAGCAGGGTGGGGAGACACTTGATCGCTGCCTCCCTCAGTTGTGTGACCTACATAGTAATTCTATTTAAACTGTTAACATTTCTTTCTAATTTCATACATATATATGTACAGAGAGAAAGAGAGAGAGAGAGAGAGAGAGAGAGAGAGAAAGGTGCCATATTCACTTCCATGCAAATGAGTGTTCTTTTCTGTTTTCTTTTGTGACAGCACACACCCTCTTTTTGAGCGATGAGTTAGTGGCTACCTTTAGATATGTTAATGTCGGTTATGATCATACTGTATATTTCAAAGATCAGGAACACCAGGTAACGTTACAGTCCTTACCAAGCGGTTTTAATGTCCTTTTGTAAAAATCTAAATTATGTGTTTTATGGAGATAAATAGTCTGGAATAACGGAAATCTAGCAATGTCATTGCATTCTACGAAAATATTTCATATGGTGTCTGGAATGCATTTGTCTATTGGACTATCCTAAAGGCTCTTGCATTGAAATATTTAGATTCTTAGCAAACATCGCAGAATATTCTCTACTCTTCTATTGTAGCATTCCTCCTCTTTTTGAGTCTTTCATATTTTTTTAAAAAAGCAAAAGCACCCCCCCCCAAAAAAAAACCTACTTCCCTGTTTGTGGCTCTATTCCTATGGGTACTGATATAACATCAGATACACTGGCCAAAATCCTGTTCCTTAGTGTAGTAAGTGGCACTAGAGTAGGCCTATTTGAATCAGTGAATACTGAGGAATTGATTCTCCAAATCCCCACTGATTCAATGACCATACTCTAGTGCAACTTACAATGCTAAGCAACTGGATTTCAGCCATTGCTTATAACCCCACCCCCTCAAAAAAGTAAAATGCAGTCTCTTTGCTCACTGATGATATATCTCTGATATGATAGCTTTCTGTGAGGTAAAGTAATTCACTGTTTACAGTGTGAACTAAAAGCACAATTGTACAATTGCAGTGGTGACTAGATTGTTTTTCTCACAGACTGGCTCTGGGTTTGAGAAGCACTAGGGAAACATACCTTTTGAAGCAGGGGTGCCCAGCCTTTGATGTTGCAAATTCTACCCATTATTCTGTCAAACTGCTACTGGGATCCCATCATGTTAGACCGTCTAGAGTGGTCGTTGACTAGATAGGTGGGATATTAAATCAATCAATCAATCAATCAATCAATCAATCAATCAATCAATCAATCAATCAATCTTCTTGTCCTGAGAAGAATGCATATATGCTTATAGGTATTCTGTTACGGTGGCCAAAATCTTAACAGTTATGCCTGCAAGTTTAGCACAAATGACATAACTTTGGAAGGCGAATTGCCTGAAGTTAGGAAGTCACCAAAGATATTATCTGCTATGTACCTCATTATGCAATTCAGTGGGCAACATAAAATGTCTACTATGACTTCTCAACTCAAAGCAATTTGTCTCCAAAAAATTAAGCAGTTTGCATTATGCCAGCCTAAAATCACAACAGGACATTGAACTATTTATATTTATTTATTTATTTATTTATTCATTCATTCATTCATTCATTCATTCATTCATTCATTCATTCATTCTACTTCTATAGTGCCCCATTAATGTAAACACTCTCTGGATGGTTCACAACATGCAATAACATCATATAATAAGAAAAAAAACTACTGTGTACAATAAATACAATAAAAATACAATTAAAAAAACCCTGTTACTAGCTAAACCAATAAACCTACTTTTAAACAGAATTGCACAAAAGAAAAAAAAACAACCAAGACAATTAAACATATCATTTACAGTAAGCTGGCCAACAGAGGGAACAAGATAATTCAGTTTAATGGTGAATGCCCCAAACAACTACTAGCATGCTCAAAGGTCATACATAGATAAACCATTGCAGGTAGGATAGGTAGAACATGACACATAACATTTGCATTTAGCAACAATGTTAAAGAGGTGGTCATCTAGGGAAAGGTAGCAGGATTGGGCCCTACTAATCCTGATGCTAATGTTGTTGACTTTATGATTGCACCGGCCATGGATGAGAGCCAACACCATGCCATCATATGCATTCCATGTTCCATACTTATTCACAGCGGCAGCTTGTGATTGGAGGGCGTGCCTCAAAATTTGAGACTGAGGTGCCCTTTGTGCTCAAACTATGGGCCACAGGAGGGAAGGAAAATGCCATTCTGCAGTGGAATAGTCAGGCTGTTGTCCATTCAAAACGATACCAACAATAATAATTAAACTAGATAAACACCATGGTGCTTATTTGCACAGTGGTGGAGCTCAGGGGGGCAAGGAAAAAAAGACTCTCAAAAACATTTTTTGGGGGTGGGGAAGAATCCTGAAATCATCATTGCAGTAGCCCACAGGGAAGTACACAGTGAGCAGAATATTATTGGAGGAGGAGGAAAATTTTGAAGATGGGGTGATAATCATACTAGGAGTTGTGGGACTGACATAGCTGTTGTCATTGAGGTACTGAGCAGAGAAATATGCTATCTAAGAACTGCATTTGTGAAAACATATTCAGCAGGCTAGACCTGTGTTACAGAAGAAATGATGCCCTCTTAAAAGCTGAACTGTGCTTCCTTATGACCACTTGTAGTTTGGAATGGCAATTTTGGGTGCATAGATTTCATGTGCCTGCTGCAATAAACAGAGTAAGGTGGTACTGGAGACTACCATTGTAAAACTGGCAGCTATTTCAGCTCCAAGGCAGCAGTGAAGCAGGAATTAACCACAATATGACATACTATGTCCCATAGGGGTGGCTTGTGATGGGAGCGGCTGCCTCAAAATTTGAGGCTGAGGTGCCTTTTGTCCTCAAACCACAGACCATCCTATGTATACTGTATGTCTGAAATATAACACATCTAATTAGAACAGTGGTTCCGAACATTGGGTCCCCAGATCTTCTTGGGTTATAACTCCCAGAAATCCTGGTCAGCATAACTAGTGGCAAAGGCTTCTGGGAGTTGTAGTCCAAAAACATTTGGTATACCCAAGGTTAGAAACTACTGAATGAGAGTGTGGCCCTTAACAACTTCATTCACCTGACATTTCGGAACTTGAATGAATGTTCTTCATAGCACTATCAGTTTGTGGACTGGGCAGGGTGGTGGCGCCTCATCTTGCCATAGATTTCCAGTGGTTACTATGATGTGCTAACGGCTAACCTGAATAGTGTTTTTTTAAAGGCTGAATAAATCAATGAGAAAACAAGCACTCAGAGAGAGCCAACACCTTTCAACGTTCAGATTCCCAGACAACATGGGATACCTTCCCCTTTTGTGCTAGTACCAACTTTCCTCAATCTGGCCTTCTCCAGATCTCTTCTTTTCTTGGTGGCTATTTGTCTAAGCATTTGTATCAGACACGGAAGACCTGCTGGGCTTTTGTTGTGCTGAACAAAAACTAAACACCATCAGCGGCAAGCATGAGTGCTGTAGAACAGCCACAAACACAGAGTGCAAAATCTGCCTTCTGAAATGGATATTAGCACAACAAGACTTCGATGCTGTGTGTGGTTAAAGAATAGGACACGCGCCTGTCTGCACTGGCATATATGGTATATGATGGCCTGACAGCAGGGTTTGGCACAGAAAAAAAATACCCCATTTGCTTCTATTTCTACATAAAACAATCCATCCTTCACCTTTAAGAGCTGGCCTGTATCTTTCTGGCACAGGGCTTGGGCATGCAATCTTTTGGGGATGATGCATTGAGATCCCATGTGACACCCCTGTGATCATGCCATAGGTTCAGTTTCAGTATACTAAAACAAAATAAAAAGCAAAGACATTCATGGAGTTTTGGTTCAGAGGGACTGGGAGATATGCCCACAGTTTCTCCAGCCCTGTGTGGATGACACAACTACTCCTGCTGCTGCAATTCTTCCTTGTATTCAGCTGTTTAAGTTACAGGAGACCACGCCCTGTCCTCTCTGGTCTCTGGCTGCTGTGCCTTCATACCAAACTGTTGTTAACGGCCAGGAGGAGATTCAGTAGGAAAAGGTGGCAAGCCAAATGGCCTCATGGGAAAAGATCAGAAGGATGCCGTTCATTAGTAACATGGAGACAAGGCAAGAACTGAAACATTGCATCGCATTGCATTCCGTGTTGTTCAGGTTACTGATTGTCTGAAGAAGATTGGCCTGGCCTGTTCTTGAGCTTAGATAAGAAGATTTGTTTTCATGTAGTAAGGATCGATTCACCTGATAATGCAATGAGCTTAGATAAGAAGATTTGTTTTCATGGTTCAAAGTAAGGATCGATTCACCTGATAATGCAGCCACCCCCAACATTGGTGTCACTTAGATGTGGTGGATTGTTGCTCACATTTGTCCCAGCCAGCATTGCCCCAATTGGGAAAGGCTATGCTAAAGATGGCTTTTAAAAGGGGGTGGAAAGGTCTATGTCCAGTGTATATCACTTTTTGCATCCCTGCTTCTCCATAGAACTTATTCTAGTTGTTTACAAACTACCATCATTTCTAGGACCCATCTTTATCCAGTAGCTTGTGTAGACAATAGGCACTGGTGGAACCAAAGAATGAGCCCAAGTCATTTTGCAGCCTCAGGTGACAGCCCCATCAAAACACAAGATACATTATGTCTCCATCTGAAAAACATGTTTTGGCATAGGAAGAAGGAAATCCCACAATTCCATCAGTAAGAATACAATAATAAAGTCAATAATTCAGCCCCTGTCCCTGGAATACATGCAAGGAAGCACATGCTGTAGAGTTTTTACTGGTCCTCTGGTC